CCAGGAGCTTTGTGTCCGTCCGAAGGCGGTGTCGCCCCGAGCAACTTTTCTTTTTCCCCAGAGTTTGGGATTGAATGTGAAGGGTTGCTGTTGGTAGCCGCTTTGCATTTCATCACCTCCGTGTTTATAGTCTAGACCGTGGATACAGAACTAGTTAGACTAGATGCAGGGAATACGCTTCTGAATACATTTCTCTTCTTGTTTGGACAGATACTCCAGGTGAATTTTGGAATCGGGTCTACCTGTCTTTCTGCTGATCGTGTGACTCGTGTGAATTTCTTACTGGATTGTTGGGTAAGTTTATCGGGGGGAATTTGTTTTATACTTCTTACAATGTGTTACTGGCCTTGAGATTTATTGGCAAAAGATGATTCCAACTTTTAAATGCGGAAGCGTCTTCAGAAAAGAAAGAACATTCGTTTTTTTTTTTTTTTTTGCATTGCAACCATGGTTAGTAGATCACAGGTGCAATGCTCTGGGCCCGGCAGAGTGTTCCTCCTGTCCATGTCCGTACCGAAGTGCAGGCATGTGTTAAGAGGTACGGGAGCAGGGGTGTTCCTAGCCTTTTTGCTACTGGAGGAGGGGAGGGTGCTGATGGATGGTGCAAAACCAGTGGGAGGGGTGCTGGTGGAGAATGGGCTGGGTGGGATATGTGTAAGGCTCTGCATCTCCGCACCCAGCTCTTAGCAACCTGGGACACGCTAGCCGGCATCCAGCTGAGCTCATGGTAATCAGTGATGTCACTGGCTGCCAGGAGCTCGGCAGGACGCGGTCAAGAGCATCCTAGGTTGCTCAGAGCCGATTGGGGAGATGTGTCAGGCCTCTGTCTCCCCACACAGCTCTTAGCAACCTAGGACGCTCTTGCTGGTGTCCCGTCCAGCTCCTGGCAACCAGTGATGTCACTAGTTGCCAGGAGCTGGGCGGGAGGCTGGCCAGAGCATCCCAGGTTGATTAAAGGCGGATGGGGAGATAGGTAAGAGCAATACACATCTCCCCAATCGGCTCTTCACAATCTGAGATGCTCTGGCCAGCCTCCCGCCCAGCTCCTTGAAACTGGTGACATCACTGGTTGCCAGGAGCTGGGCGGGACACCAGCAAGAGCACCCCAGGTTGTCAAGAGCCGATTGGGGAGATGTGTATCTCCCCACCGCCTTTTAGCAACCTGGGAAGCTCTGGGCAGAAAGGTGGGCAGGTACACTGCAAGCATTGTGCAGCAGAGCCCTGCCCCCCCAACCCCCCACCCGCCATGTGACCCAAAGAGATGCCGCCTGAGGCAACAGCCTCATTAGAGGGATGGCCCTGGGTGGGAGGAAGTTTCAGTGGACTACAACTGTGGTGACGTCACTGCACTTGTATTCCATTGAAGTCCTTCTGCTGCTGTGGCTGATGTGACTTTTAGCTTCTCCATTAACAGATCCTGTCATAGGATCTGTGAATCAATGAAGAGACTGTGTGGGCGCAGCCGCTCTGATTTCAAACACCAGCAGCATCCTACGGGGAGAAGAACCTTGTGATTCCGATAAGTGGGGGTCTGAGATCTGACCCTTTTTCATATTACACCCTAAATATGGGTCCAGTGTAGTTTATTGGAAAAGTTCAACAATAAAACAGCCAGCACATTTCGGGGTTCTACAAATTCCCCTTCATCGGGGCTCACGGATTACGTTGTTAATGGACTCGGGTTGAATATCAATTACGATTTCAGAAACGTGAACTTAGCCTTTAAAGTTTACCATACACGGCTCAAATTTTGGCCAATTCCAGGTGAATTGTCCTAATTTCAAGCCGTGGATGGCCTTGTTGGTACCACCCGGCTTCAGGTGTTGATTTAAATATTAAAGGAGCCGGGTGGAAAACTATTGGCAGAGCAACGACCGTATCCACATGCTGTTTGGGTATTGACGCGGCACTAGACTGGCATGGCAGCCAGTCAAACAGCGTGTCTGTTACTGATCGCGATAACGTGCGTTGTATGAGGTTTATAAGCTTCGTTGATCTTTATTTGTGTCTGTTGTCATTAGGAGAAGGCCCGTCAGGGCTCTTTTCTCTGCCTCACAAAACCCATCAAACTGGCGATGTCGCGAGTACCAAGTCCCCCTCCCCCGGCTGAGATGTCCACTGGCCCTGTGGCTGAAAGCTGGTGTTACACACAGGTAACCTTTTCTTTAGAGTTTTCCTTTATAGGACCTTGCTCGGTCAGCTCTTGGTTTTCCTATGGGCTTTCAATCAATGTTTGGCCTTTGTTTATGTCCCGACAGATCAAAGTCGTAAAGTTTTCCTACATGTGGACTATCAATAACTTTAGTTTCTGCCGAGAGGAGATGGGGGAGGTGATCAAAAGCTCCACTTTCTCCTCGGGAGCCAATGATAAGCTCAAATGGTGAGTATCAGATGAATGGTATGAAGGTCGTTGTGCAGATCTGTTGTTAGCATCTGTGCCAAATGGTGGCCTAGGTGCCGAATCCCCTGATCCAGGTCATCGATGCTACTGAAATATTACAGCTGGAACCAAACCTTTGAGGTTGCTGTCAATTGAGCGAGCTCCTATAAACTATCCTGCTGGCTCCTGGATTGGACAGACTGGCTCCTGAATTGCATAACACGCCCACCCCTGATCTAAGCTGCTGATTCTGGAATAGCAGTCTCTGGTTATACATGCTCATCTATGGCAGGGTTTCATAATTTATCCTTTAGAGTCCTTACTTGTGTCTTCATTATGGCAGCCAATCGGGTTAAGCTGTTTTTTGCTTACTCATTAAAATATACATTATATACACCGATCAGCCATTATGACCACCCACCTAATATTGAGTAGGTCCCACTTTTCCTGACTTGTTGAGGCATGGACTACACTAGACCTCTGAAGGTATGCTGTGGTATCTGGCACCAAGCAGTCAGTAGCAGATCCTGTAAGTAGTGAGGTGGGGCCTCCATGGATCAGTCTTGTTTTTTCCAGCACGTCCCACAGATGTTTGATTGGATGGAGATCTGGAGAATTTGGATGCCAAGTCAACACCTCAAACCCATTCAGGGGAATGTATCAAATCTGGAGCAGACAAAGTCTGGAGCAGATTGCACTGCAACCAATCAGCTTCTCTGTCTCATTTTCAAATCTTACCCGAGCAAATTGAAGAGAGAAGCTGATTGGTTGCCATGGGCAACTGCTCCAGATTCGTTCTGCTCCAGTTTTGATAAATTCCCCCCATTGGGTTCCTCAAACCAGTCTTAAACCATTTTTTGCAGTATGGCAGGGCGCATTATCCTTCTGATAGGTGTGTGTATATATATGTATATATATATATGTATAGGTGTGTGTGTATATATGATATATATTATACAGTTGTTGTGAGCGACCCTGTCCTTTCCTTTGTCCTACTTTTTAATAATCATCCGGTATATATGGTCTAGCATGCTTTCAAACTTGGTTTTGGGGGTCTCAACTTAAAAGTAGTGTTAAACACTCAAATGAATTCAGATATACATCGCCTAGCAAAGTATTTCTTTACATTTTTGCCCAAGAACCTACAGGCATCATGTTTATGAACAGCTCCAACTCTCTCAGCTGCACTTCCCCGAACCTCCTGTCTAGTGCACGATCACAAGAGACAGAGCAGTCTCCAGCAGCTGCCCATATACTAGCGGTCTCTTGCTGTGGCTGTGCATTTGGGAAGACACAAACCGCTCACTAGCCACACACAGTGCTGGTTCCAAAGGAACCTTGCAGGGTAAGGAGCCACCTGAAAACATGATATCATGGCCAGTGCTCAGCATCCGTTGTAGGTGATATAATCAGCGTTTTATAAATCCTAACAGCATTTTGACTTTAATATCACTTTAGGGTAGAAATCCAACCAAATCTCATTTCATAGAGAGTGCTGTGTATATTCCCTGTGGATTTTTTTTTTCTTCCTGTCCCAGAGACATGCAGGAAGTGTGGGGAAAGCCCACCTTGGACACTTGTTACTATTACTATATTTCCTCTCTCTTTCTGTTCCAGTTGCATTCCTGCTTACTTTCTGTTCCTGTGACTTGTTAGCAGGATGAATAGGAGAGATTCCTCTCACCGGGACAAAGACAGACATAGAAACGCAGAACATTGCACACACTCAAAGAAATCCCACAGCTGAAGTCTCTTCTGAAACCAACACTATTCGGAGTGTCGATCTCCTGTGCTGGCTGGTTCCTCCTGCCGATCCCTATGTCACTACTGTTCTGTAGTCATGTACGGGTCAATGGCAGGAACCGCACAGTCTAGCTAGGACACAGGATATGCGTGCTATTCAAAGTGTTGCTGTCAGAAGATACTTTGAGCATTAAGGCAGTTTTCGGCAGCGTGGGCATTTGCTTGTTTTTCCCCTCCTGTTCATTGAAGGACACAGGCCTACGGTACATGATCTACGATCTGTTCCCTGTGTCCTTTCAATGAACGGAGAGAAAAGGATTTTACGGGGAGTACAAAATCCTATTTTTTGCAGGTTCAGCTTTTTTAGGCAAGTTTTTTTTAATCGGGGGTGTTAAAAACAAACTCATGTTTGCTCTGTGCAGTAAAAAAATAACAGTTCACGCGTTCTGCTTCCTGCATTAAAGGAGTGACTGATGCATAATGCAGAGAAAATTCTCTTCAATGTGTGTAAGGGAATGTAAAACCTTGTGTAGTTAGTCGCATACAGCTGGACTTGTTTCGTAGGTTCCCCAAGCCACTTTCCTGCCTTCCTTTAAAGTTTACCATACACGGCTCAAATTTTGGCCAATTCCAGGTGAATTGTCCTAATTTCAAGCCGTGGATGGCCTTGTTGGTACCACCCGGCTTCAGGTGTTGATTTAAATATTAAAGGAGCCGGGTGGAAAACTATTGGCAGAGCAACGACCGTATCCACATGCTGTTTGGGTATTGACGCGGCACTAGACTGGCATGGCAGCCAGTCAAACAGCGTGTCTGTTACTGATCGCGATAACGTGCGTTGTATGAGGTTTATAAGCTTCGTTGATCTTTATTTGTGTCTGTTGTCATTAGGAGAAGGCCCGTCAGGGCTCTTTTCTCTGCCTCACAAAACCCATCAAACTGGCGATGTCGCGAGTACCAAGTCCCCCTCCCCCGGCTGAGATGTCCACTGGCCCTGTGGCTGAAAGCTGGTGTTACACACAGGTAACCTTTTCTTTAGAGTTTTCCTTTATAGGACCTTGCTCGGTCAGCTCTTGGTTTTCCTATGGGCTTTCAATCAATGTTTGGCCTTTGTTTATGTCCCGACAGATCAAAGTCGTAAAGTTTTCCTACATGTGGACTATCAATAACTTTAGTTTCTGCCGAGAGGAGATGGGGGAGGTGATCAAAAGCTCCACTTTCTCCTCGGGAGCCAATGATAAGCTCAAATGGTGAGTATCAGATGAATGGTATGAAGGTCGTTGTGCAGATCTGTTGTTAGCATCTGTGCCAAATGGTGGCCTAGGTGCCGAATCCCCTGATCCAGGTCATCGATGCTACTGAAATATTACAGCTGGAACCAAACCTTTGAGGTTGCTGTCAATTGAGCGAGCTCCTATAAACTATCCTGCTGGCTCCTGGATTGGACAGACTGGCTCCTGAATTGCATAACACGCCCACCCCTGATCTAAGCTGCTGATTCTGGAATAGCAGTCTCTGGTTATACATGCTCATCTATGGCAGGGTTTCATAATTTATCCTTTAGAGTCCTTACTTGTGTCTTCATTATGGCAGCCAATCGGGTTAAGCTGTTTTTTGCTTACTCATTAAAATATACATTATATACACCGATCAGCCATTATGACCACCCACCTAATATTGAGTAGGTCCCACTTTTCCTGACTTGTTGAGGCATGGACTACACTAGACCTCTGAAGGTATGCTGTGGTATCTGGCACCAAGCAGTCAGTAGCAGATCCTGTAAGTAGTGAGGTGGGGCCTCCATGGATCAGTCTTGTTTTTTCCAGCACGTCCCACAGATGTTTGATTGGATGGAGATCTGGAGAATTTGGATGCCAAGTCAACACCTCAAACCCATTCAGGGGAATGTATCAAATCTGGAGCAGACAAAGTCTGGAGCAGATTGCACTGCAACCAATCAGCTTCTCTGTCTCATTTTCAAATCTTACCCGAGCAAATTGAAGAGAGAAGCTGATTGGTTGCCATGGGCAACTGCTCCAGATTCGTTCTGCTCCAGTTTTGATAAATTCCCCCCATTGGGTTCCTCAAACCAGTCTTAAACCATTTTTTGCAGTATGGCAGGGCGCATTATCCTTCTGATAGGTGTGTGTATATATATGTATATATATATATGTATAGGTGTGTGTGTATATATGATATATATTATACAGTTGTTGTGAGCGACCCTGTCCTTTCCTTTGTCCTACTTTTTAATAATCATCCGGTATATATGGTCTAGCATGCTTTCAAACTTGGTTTTGGGGGTCTCAACTTAAAAGTAGTGTTAAACACTCAAATGAATTCAGATATACATCGCCTAGCAAAGTATTTCTTTACATTTTTGCCCAAGAACCTACAGGCATCATGTTTATGAACAGCTCCAACTCTCTCAGCTGCACTTCCCCGAACCTCCTGTCTAGTGCACGATCACAAGAGACAGAGCAGTCTCCAGCAGCTGCCCATATACTAGCGGTCTCTTGCTGTGGCTGTGCATTTGGGAAGACACAAACCGCTCACTAGCCACACACAGTGCTGGTTCCAAAGGAACCTTGCAGGGTAAGGAGCCACCTGAAAACATGATATCATGGCCAGTGCTCAGCATCCGTTGTAGGTGATATAATCAGCGTTTTATAAATCCTAACAGCATTTTGACTTTAATATCACTTTAGGGTAGAAATCCAACCAAATCTCATTTCATAGAGAGTGCTGTGTATATTCCCTGTGGATTTTTTTTTTCTTCCTGTCCCAGAGACATGCAGGAAGTGTGGGGAAAGCCCACCTTGGACACTTGTTACTATTACTATATTTCCTCTCTCTTTCTGTTCCAGTTGCATTCCTGCTTACTTTCTGTTCCTGTGACTTGTTAGCAGGATGAATAGGAGAGATTCCTCTCACCGGGACAAAGACAGACATAGAAACGCAGAACATTGCACACACTCAAAGAAATCCCACAGCTGAAGTCTCTTCTGAAACCAACACTATTCGGAGTGTCGATCTCCTGTGCTGGCTGGTTCCTCCTGCCGATCCCTATGTCACTACTGTTCTGTAGTCATGTACGGGTCAATGGCAGGAACCGCACAGTCTAGCTAGGACACAGGATATGCGTGCTATTCAAAGTGTTGCTGTCAGAAGATACTTTGAGCATTAAGGCAGTTTTCGGCAGCGTGGGCATTTGCTTGTTTTTCCCCTCCTGTTCATTGAAGGACACAGGCCTACGGTACATGATCTACGATCTGTTCCCTGTGTCCTTTCAATGAACGGAGAGAAAAGGATTTTACGGGGAGTACAAAATCCTATTTTTTGCAGGTTCAGCTTTTTTAGGCAAGTTTTTTTTAATCGGGGGTGTTAAAAACAAACTCATGTTTGCTCTGTGCAGTAAAAAAATAACAGTTCACGCGTTCTGCTTCCTGCATTAAAGGAGTGACTGATGCATAATGCAGAGAAAATTCTCTTCAATGTGTGTAAGGGAATGTAAAAACTTGTGTAGTTAGTCGCATACAGCTGGACTTGTTTCGTAGGTTCCCCAAGCCACTTTCCTGCCTAATGAGTGTGAGGAAGTTACCCCAGCCACGCAGGTGGCACAGGTAGCTTCCTATACTTTTTGGAAGTGGCTTGGATAAGCTACAAAAATACATTCAACCAGGGCTGTTCCTACACTATTCCCCGCCTGGGGTGGGGTTGCTGGTGGTGAATGGTCATGTCCGTGAGGGATTGGGTGTTGGTGCTGGCCATGGATGCTTGTTACCTCTGGTTCCTGCAGCTCTGTCTGGCGTCCCTCCCAGCTCACTGACGTCACTGGTTGCCAGGGGATGGGAGGGATGCCAGCCATGTAGTGTCCTGCTCATCTCATGGTGACCAGTGATATCAGTGATCTGGGTGGGAAGCTGGACAGAGCTTCATAGGTTGCTAAGATCTCTTAGCAACCTGGGATGCTCTGGGCACCTGTGGTCACACAGACAGCCCTAGAGAACTGCACACTGAAGACATGTTTCTGCTCCTCTGCCAAGGGAAGTAATTGAAAGCAGCTCTGTTTGTTGTCCTCTCGGGCTGCCTATGTGTGTTGGCACAAGCGGCGTTCTCACGTAGGGCTGTAGTCTTACAATGGGAGCACGCAAAACAGGTGACTCCATAAGACCCTGTTAGGCAAAGAAGCCACCCTAAAACAGGAAGGCGGAGGCAGACATAATGAGCGGCTGAACAAAGAAGAAAGGAACATTTTAAAGGAGCGGGAAGCCGCATCTAATGTAGGTGTGGACACATGTTGCAGAAATCTCCTTAAACTAATAGGCCCAAATCAGACAGACTCCTTGACCACTAAGGGCACCTTTATTAGAAAGGTATTTGGTGGAGCTTAGCCATGAAGTCGGTCCCCAGGAACAGAGAGGAGCAAGGAATAGGCATTTGTGACTTACAAATAAAAGTAGTCTGGGCTTTTTATAGCTTTCCGTTAAGCACAGATCCACTTAAAAGTGATATGCTTGAAATCTGTTTCTTCATTTAGTGTTGCCATGGTAGTAGGTAAAGGGCAGGGAGGCACACAAGGACTAGAATAGGCCTTACACAATTAAAATTTCCATCACTGGAAGAGCAAAGTGTCGCGTCTCTGCCCTACTTCCATACTACATTATATTATTGTATTACAGACCCAACATAAAGCTCAGAAGTATATTTTGTCCTATTATTTAAAATGTGTCCTAACGCTTACCTATTATCTCCCAGGTGCCTCCGTGTAAATCCTAAAGGATTAGATGAAGAGAGCAAGGACTATTTGTCTCTCTACCTGCTGCTGGTCAGCTGTCCAAAGAGTGAGGTGCGCGCCAAATTCAAATTCTCCATCCTTAATGCTAAGGGTGAAGAAACCAAGGCAATGGGTAAGTGGCCTGCCTAGCTTGCTGTTTGGGGTCTAGCAATTATGTTGTACTTTCCTTTGCAGCCTTTTAACCAATGTACACATCGTCTTCTTTTAGAGAGCCAGCGAGCTTACCGCTTTGTTCAAGGAAAAGACTGGGGCTTTAAGAAGTTCATTCGCAGAGATTTCCTGCTCGATGAGGCCAATGGCCTTCTTCCGGATGATAAGCTGACCTTGTTCTGCGAGGTATGTCCTGGCAGTTAAGCATATATGCATGTGTAGATTATCTTATGTGAAACCTGTATGCAGTTGGGCCCTCTTGTCCAGGCATTGTGTATGTAACAGTTGAAAACTAGGCTTACTTATACTGACTCTATTACCAGAAGTAAGATCTAATTTCCCTGTACAGAAGAGGTATGCTTGCCCATGCTTCAGATCTCTGCTCTCGTTGAGAGCTATGCCAGCAAAAGAATCTTAAGCTTTCAATGCACTTCTGGGTGTATCGGATACCTGGTCACCTGCTGCTTGCTGTGGTTCCACCCGTAGTCAGGAACCACAGCATGCACACAAGCGAAAGTGTGTCAGATGCTTAAGAATGTTCAGGTGGGGTTGCTATTAAAGAGAGTGATGCTCCAAGGCACAGGCGGTGGCCAGGTAAGTATGCCGCCTATTTTTTTCCAAGGATTTTTAACATTTTTCTTTGCAAGTAAATTGCCTTTAAAGGAGAACTATGGGGTTAAGGCTTTTCCCCATAGTTCTCCGAAGGGTAACGGAGGACACAAACTAGCGTCCTCCTGTCACCCTAAGCTCAATATACCGCGATACCGCGAATTACAGCTCGCGGTATACTGAGACGTCGCAGCTGAAGCGGATCCTGACAATTATGTCTGCATCCGCCCAGCTGCGTGAGTGACAGCTGGCTCTGCCTATCTAGAGGCAGAGCCAGCTGTCCCCTCCCCTGTCCATTCCACCAGTCAGCGCTGGAGGATCGGAGCGGGGAGGGGGGAATCCAGTCCCTCCCCTGTCACGGCAGAGAGCAGTGACAGGATCGAGAAGTGAGCGAACGCCCGTATATGTTCGCTCACTTCCCGATCTACTGAGCCGACCTGTGACAGTTCATTGTCACAGGTCGGCTAGAACTATGAGGTGAGTAAAAAACACCCACCTCATAGTTCTCCTTTTAATGGCAAAGAGCAATTGGCAATAGTATTACCTATCAACCAATAACATTGTAGCTGTTTATAATGGAGAGACTTGGCTATTAAAGATGATTTTTTTCATTGCATTTAAGAAGAGATACTACATGCTAGTACTCACTCTTGTCCTACCATCCCCTTTTCCGTAACTCCCCCACTTTACACTTTGTTATACACCATTCATCCAGCTCATGGCTCTTCACAGGCCTCCTGATATGCATGTTCCCTATTAAAGAACCACTTTTGCTCAGGTTTGCTTATACCAGTCCAGTCAGGTATTCGTCAAGCCTTGGCTGTCTATTCCTGAATGGAAACATTGCTGCTGTTTCAATTGGGGATGCACTGATACTAGTATTTGTGTGGATACCAAGTATTTGGGTGAGTACTCGTACTCGCCCAATTGCTCCGATACTGGGACTTCCAGTCAGCGTGAGATTTCCTTTGACCGCTAGTGCTGCGAGGGAACATGAAGCCGGCTTCCTGATTGGCCAGGGAGCTGGCTCAATGCTGAATGTTCAGGTAATGACACGCTGCCCGGCTTCCTGATTGCCTGATTGGAACTACTGGTATCGATACTCTGTATTGGCGAGTACTGAAATATAAATATCGCTACTCGATACCGAAAAACCGGTATCGGCGAATCCCTAGTTTCAATACCATACTTTGAAAAAGCCACTCGGATATGGGGCCTTTGCTGTATACAAAATGTGTTAGGTGGAACTGCACAAATATGTCACTGCAGATGTGTTCGGCTTGCCCTTTGCCACCATAACACTGCATGCTGCTGGACTGCACTTCTCCCAGACAATTATTCCTTGACCCTTCACCTGTGTACCTCCTCAACTTACCCTGGATCGATGTCCTGACATCTCCAATGCAAACAAAATAACATAACAAGCCCAGTCAGATATTCGTCAAGTATAGTATATACAGGTATTCTCCGCCTGTTCTGTCAGAGCCGCATACCATCCAGCCCACCTACCCCACGAATCCCCACACCTTTCGTTTTTGGGAGCGCTGAATATAGTTCTGTTTTTTGGTACATCTCCAATGTAAACCACTGACTTGTGACACACCTATGTCCTTCTCTAGTGACCCGCACAACCCTCCCCTAAATTTAGACAGTAAACTCTGAGTATTCAGTACACCCACCCAATATTGGGATACTCTGAGCTGATGACTGTGAACTGCACCCGAACATGACTGAAGGCTAGTAGCATGCACCTAAGCCTACATCCCCCCTGATCTCATGATCTAAACCACTTATCCTTTTGGACTGATCACCATCACGATTCGCTTAGATAAAGGACCTCTTCTTGCATTGTTGGTTATGGTAAATGTGCTGCGGCTTGAGTTTAAGCTAATAGTGGACATACCCTCACTTGCTTGATTTTGCTATGACATAAAATGCTGTAGTGTTGGCGATGGGATCCAACAGTACATTACTGGAGTTCCTGTACATTTGTGACCCAAGCTGTATCTTTACATTGCCATCTTTCATTCTCCCTAGGTCAGCGTGGTTCAAGATTCTGTTAACATTTCTGGACAGAACACCATGAACATGGTGAAGGTACCGGAATGCCGTCTTGCTGACGAACTCGGAGGATTATGGGAGAACTCTCGTTTCACTGACTGCTGCCTATGTGTTGCTGGGCAGGAATTCAAAGCACACAAAGCCATCCTTGCAGGTCTGTTCACTTTGAGAGTTTTGCCATCCACATGTAACAATGTATTGGTGTGAAGCCAATGAGCAGGAGGCCATCGGTTTTCAATCATTGCTGCTTACTGGTCAGAGACTGAATGACGTAATGCAGAAAAGCAATCTGGCTCGCATTGGCAGCACTTTCCCTTGTTTAACCCTAAAGTTCCTTTGTTCGTTGGCACTGACAAACTTTCACAGGTGCTTGACATGCAGCAGCGTCTGCCGCATGTTTGTACCAAGCCTAAAATAAGAAGCAGATATGTGAGACATGGGTAACGTAGAAACAATTCATGTTGCTTGATTCTTAAGGCCTTCTGATGTTGCGTACAGCACCCAGATAAGGTAAATGCACATATAGGCTGTATATAGGCACGCACATTCCCTGTACTCCCTTATGTGTGCACATGGGCACTTCCTCCAGATCCTATTGTTATATGCTTGGTGGTGGAAAGACTAATTGCTTGTAGGGGATGGGCTTATGCTGGGCATACATCCTTTTTTTGTTTTTCATGTCATTGACTGCTTGGTCTGATTGTTATATTCAATCAGATGTCTGATGCACCATCCAAAATTCACCTCCATCAACATGATTGCTTTCCATGCCAAAAGTTTTTTGTAAAAAGGAAAGGGAAATCGAAAGCAACTTTTTCAGAATTGATTAATTGCTTCAAATCGTATACAATGGGCTTGGAAAAAAAGATCTGAGTTCCTCTACTTAGGGATGCACCAACATTACATTTTTAGAAAGAAACTAAAATATAAAAAATTGTGAAACCGAAAATTACTTTTTTTTAAAATAAAAAATGTATTTGTTTAATTTATTTTATTTTTATTATATATATTTATTTATTTTTACTGTTAGTGGCCTTGGGGAAACATCAGGGGTCTATTTAGACCCATGATATTTTCCTTTTAAAGGAGATCAAGCACACTGAGTCCTCAATCTCTTTTTCTGGAGCACTCAATAAACAGGAAGCTCTCAGTACATCCTGTTCCCATTTTCAGTACATTCCCCTTCCTGTTCATTCATAAACTGAGGAGTTTCTGTTTACTATATCCACAATCATGAATGAACAGGAAGTGATGTACAGCACTTCCTGTTCATTCATAACTAGGGACATAGTATGCTTACAATGTCCTCAGTTATTTACAAACACTCAACAATCAGCTGACTGCTCTGCCTGTCACAGAAGCCAAGTTCTCCTCCCTGCATCGCCCCGCTCTGCCTCCTGACAGATTCTCTCCTCCCGCTAGGCAACTGGATCAGCTGTGTCCCCTCCAGTCCCTGCTGCCTCTGCCGACACAGGTGGGGTAAAGCAGCGGGAGTCAGAGGAGACATAGACCGGCGGCCAGTGGGGAGCAGAGAAGCTGGGGATGCGCTGCATTTCCGTCAGTTTTGGTACTATCGGCATTTTGCCCATAGTACCATTTTTTTCGCCCAAAATTTCGGTGCATCCCTACCTCTACTCATCTGATCACTTTCATCTTCCATTTGATGAAATTGTACAGAAAATCATTTGAAAATTCCTGTTTTAGAACAGAATATTAAAACAATGATTTTATTGTAAGAGTGGATCAGTGAAAAATTGACCAGCACAAACCCAATGCAAATACAACACATCTGGGCAGTTAGGGTGGCATAGAAGTGTAGGGTAAGGACGAGCAGGCACTTTTATTTACATTATCAGGAATGCACCTCTGTAGTAGTACTAGAGAGCAGATCTGGGGTTTGTTGGTTCAGAACCAGGAACCAGATCTGGGGTTTGTCTGTTCCATTGCAAAGAAACAAACCACTGGCTGACTAAGCTCACAATAATAAAATAAATATCACTTTTGAGTGCACTCTCCCTTTAACACAGTTGAAATGAATTTGGGTGCTGCCTGTTATTTCTTCCTGAAAATATCTCCATCTTGGAAGCAGTGTCGGTAGATAATCCTGTCATTCCTGTAGCAGTTGGCTGACAATCTACATATATACATTATGGAAATTCTCAGGTCTATTTTATGCTACAAGTTCCTTCTTTGGCATACGAGCTTCCAAGGGACATCTGTCAGCACACGATACAGTTGCATTTCCTTTTGCTTGATACATTGCAGTTGATTGATTTAAGCAAGAGGGAAGAAAAGTCTATAATGTCCATGGCAACCAATCGGGTTCCAGCTGTCGCTTTTCTAGCTTACAGTTAAAGAGGCAGAGTGGTTGTTATTGGCAACTCGGTCATGTGACCTTCACCCTGGGTTTGAATTGCAGAATGTCTGCTGAATGAATGCAGATTAGAGATATGGGTGTGGAAGTTGATAAAACTGGGAGGATACAGTGATATGCTCCTTAGTAAGAGTTGCTTTCTTTTCTTTACTATGTAGGAAATAGCCTGGACCTGGTTGCTGAGGGCAAAACTGTGATCACCGTTTAGCTTTTTTGGGATTATTGCCACGTCGCATGCTGTTTGTGGGTTTGAAGAGGATATTGTGGCTATTGGCAGTTGATTTTGTTTTTGGTTGTCTTCCTTTTTTTCTTCTCTATCTTGTCTGTAAAGTGCCCTGTGCATATATTGGCGTATTTCGGTATTCATTTGGAGGCCCTTATATAGATGCGGTTAAAAGTAAACCTGTGAGGACAGAAATATGAGAGATCCCATTGACCAGTAATCCTGAAATTAAACTTTTAACTAAATGCCATAGCTATTCATGGCTTTTGCATATATGCATGTAAAGAAGAACTCCGGGTAGAAAAAACTCTACCCTAGCAGTGGGGCTACCCCCACACTGGAAGAGATAAGTGCTAATTTTGTCTAGGGGGCTCAAATAAATTGGCTTTGCTCACCTGATCCTCAATCCCAATCCTGTCAGCACTCACCCCCCCCCGACGTCCCAAGCGTCTAATGTAGGTCATCAGATGTGATGACTTCAGTGACCCTTAGACCAACGGAGCACAGGAGAGAAGAGGCTACAGGTACCAGTCTAGCAGCCCAGAGGGACTGAGAATCCAGTCCTTCAGTCAATGTTCTTCTTTCCGAAGCTGCTAGAGATGGTGTTCCCAACTGCACCTATGGTGTACGGACCCTGCTAGACTGGATATTGGGGGCTAGCCTTGAAGTGACCTTCAGGCACCGAGTTTCGCATAAGGCACCTTCAAGACTACTTTCTGGTAACAGGTTAGCCATAAAATGCTTTTTAGGTATGTAGCTGTTGGCCTTACATCAGTGTTTGCCCTGTCCCTGAAGACACTCTTTGTAAGTAGGCTGATCAGGCTGAGTGACAATAGCACTCTCAGCTTGAACCTGAGTATTTTGCTACCGGTATTACTCCCAAATGAAAAGAATACTGTTTTGGCTCTTTTTGATGCAGTGTGTATCACTCTGAAACTAAAGCATCAGCCTGTCGCTTCTACCAGTGCTATTCCTAGTCTTGGATTCTTTATAACCCCCTAAGACCACAAAGACCATTTCCACTGAACCTGCTGTTGGACAACTCATGGACAAAATGTTTACTCCCCCGATTGCCTATTACCCTTGTATCTGTTTACAGAAGACTTTGTTCAAAAGTGTTCTGCCCCCACTGCGGATCTGGCAGGGTCCCACCTAACAAAGTGATTACTATTCCGCCAAAGGATGTACCTGTCTTTAAAGGAGAACTATGGGGTTAATGAAAATTGAATTTAGATTCCCAATGCCATAGGGAACTTAGATGGAATCCTTGGCTCACCTACACCCAATCTTTTATATCAGCACCTTCGGTAGCAGCAGTGTGTGTTCCTTTTGTGGAGTATATCATAAATGCTGAACGTATACTACTCGCCTTTCTACACGGGACCCTTAAGCTGGCCATACACCTTACGACTATCGTTCGATTGCTTTCGTCCCGTCATCGAACCGTCGTTCGATTTCCGCTCCAATACCCCATCATGCACAGACCAATGTCAATTTCGCTTATCGTTCGTCAGCAATACTAACTGACTGAATTTCGTCGATCGACAGAACGGATTTTCGTTTGCGCATGTGCTGTGTTGATGTTGGGAATTTTTTTTTTTCTTCGTACGAAAACGACACTAATCCATCAATTGTACAATTCGAAAAAAGTTTTCCAGCCTGACCGAGGAAATTTGGCCAGAAGTACAGTAATTGTGATCGTTCACTTCCCATCAACGGGCCGATTATCGTACGAAAACCCGATGGCGTTCGGTTTTCGAACGACAATCGCAAGGTGTATGGGCGTCTTAAGGCTCTTAATACCTGTTCACCAACTTCCATGTGCAATATTGAATGAATCTTTGAATTTTTTAACTTCAGAATGTACTTTAGTGTTATTATTATTATAGAGGATTTATATAGCGCCAACAGTTTGCGCAGCGCTTTACAATATAAGGAAGACATTACAATCACAATACAAGACAAGATGGTAAGGAGGGCCCTGCCCGTGAGGGCTTACAATCTAAAAGGGAGGGAGAAGTGATACATGAGTAGGTAGCTGTGTGGGCATGAATTGTTTGAGAACGTGATGGTTCAGTGGTTAGGTTGAGGTGGGATAGGCTTCCTAAAGTCTAAAGGGATCACCTAAAGGCAGACAAAGTGGGAGATAGTGAGATAGGTTGCGGTAAAGAGTTCCTGAGGATGGGAGAGACTAGAGAAGTCCTGGAGGCGAGCATGGGAGGATTTGACAAATGAGCTGGAAAGCAGGATGTCTATGGAGGGAGCTGGAAAGCAGGAGGTCTATGGAGGAGCGGAGGGGGACGGTTAAGGGGATACTTTGAGATATAGCCTGGGGCAGAGTTGTGGATGGCTTTGTAATGTTTTTAAAGAGATCTTCTTGCCCGTCCCTGTTCTATTCTGAGCTAACCAAAAGTTGGCTAGAGTTGGCCTTTAATATAAGAAAAAATAACTTTTACTGTTCATGATTTAATTTACACCATATTGTCTTTTCATCACAATGATCCAGTGTGTTTAACAATATTACTGCAACATAAATATTAGATAATATTTCAGCACA